GATAAAATCTTGAGAGCAATTATTAGCCATTTTATGCTCTTTCAACACTATGGATCTTTTATCTTTACTTAGTTTAGCCCATCACTGAAAATGAAATTCATCAAATTGATGACCTCAAAGTTCTAATGATTCTGTTGTTAGAAGAAAATTTCTCTATTGTCATATAATTGGTCTATATACTTTTGGTTCCAAACTGCATTCTAATTGGATTGGCCTTTGGTAAGCATGAAGAATTGCTTCTGTTATGAGATTTCTTTTGTGATGAGAGAGAGAACAAGACTGGAGAGCGAGAACAAGTAGAACAAATATAATAATCTTTCTAGTATTCACAAGACTGTAATAAGAATGCCTATGTATTGTTCTGTTTTGCCCATTGCTTCTTGACCAGCCTTTGACATTAATGCAAATGGTGATCTGTTTAAATGAAATGTCTCTTAAATTTTTGAAGTGGGCTGTCACAAAGTAGAATATACTGACATTAAAATAGGAAAAATAATACAATTAGCAACCCCAGTAGTAGTTTTAATAGTGTTAAATGCCAAGATAATAACAAAATTACATCAAACAACCTTTTAAAAATAAGGTGGTCATTAGGAAAATATACTATGAAATGAAAACTCAGTTGCTGTGTTAAAGCTTTCTGTCAGAATGTCTCTCCCCAAAATCATTTTCTTGACTCACCACATGCTTCTCTGGGTAGCCACTCTGAAGGAGGCACGTAAGTAATCCACAGTGGGTTGGACCTTCTTCATAGTGGCACCAGCTTTGTGGGACCAGCTCCTGTGGATACACCTGGCCTCCTCTGTGTTAACTTTTAGAAGGCAACTTAAAACACTGCTTTTCAGGCAGGCCTCTCATACTGACTCTATCTGTCTTAATGCCTCCAGTCCTGCTGCCCTGCTGCTTCATTGTGAACCTGCCATTGGTGCTACTTGTTTCATCTGTTAAACTATTTTTAACTTTCTTGTATTTGTAGTTTAACAGCATTTGTTTTATTCCTGACTGTTGTAAACTGCCCAGAATAGTGCATTACACTAATGGCACAGCATATTATATAAGTAAGTAAATAAGCCTTCCACCATCTTCCTTCGACATATATGAGCGTATCATATGGGTCATGTGATATCATATCATATGATTACAGGCTACCTGAAGGGCTGTATCTCCCTACATGCGCCTTCTCGGTGATTAAGATCAGCAGAGGAGGCCCTCCTCTCGGTCTCATTGCAGCACAAGCACAGCTTATGGGGACACGGGAGAGGGCCTTCTCTGTGGCAGCTCCCAGGCTATGGAACACTCTCCCTTGGGAGATCAGGATGCCCCCTTCCCCCTAGGAGAAATGCAGCATATAAATAAAACTAATAAATAAATAAATATCAGAGAGTATTGATTATTGATTGTGAAAGAATGTGACAAATGTAGTAGTGCAAGGTTCTGCCCTGGGTCTCCTCTTTTTGGGGGCTAGGTGTCCACCTCGTGAAGCCCAGTGTACTTATTTAACTTTTCTGTGAGATTAGAGCCCAATTCTAACGTTACACCTTGAAGCCTTATAGAGCTTTAGGGGTGGTGGGGACGGAGGTATACACACAAGTCATGTGGCCCCCAGTTTCTTTGGTACAACAGATGCTTGCAGGATCCAACTACACTGACAGTCCAAGTCATAGGAATGTAATTTAAAAGTTTTTCAGTTTTCAAAGATTTTCTAGATGCAGACGTGCCTGCATAACAGGTAAACATTTGGTTAGGATATCAGTCTTAAGAATTGTGTCTCTACAGAATGGAATATAACACAGATGCACTTTCGGTCTGTTGTGTATCTTTTAACAAGGCACAAAGATTCTGCCAGAAAAGTGCCGCTCCCCCCCTTGTATGTTCCATCCTTTCTACTCTGTCCACCCCCTCAGTGGATAGCATACCATACTGTGGCACATACAGAAATAATCTTTGACTTATGTTCTTTGTTAGAATCCCTTTCCTCTAACTGTTTACTAGTTCGTTTATTTCTTTGTTGCATTTTTAATGTCTCAAAATAATTAACAATTTGGCATATGGGTAAAACATGATTTAGGAAGCAAAGGTGCCAGCCTGAGCTGTGTTATAGCTTTCTTCTGCTTGCCAACTAATTAATGCTAGGTTTAGATACTGAATCCAAAAATCTCAAGTGTCAAAGGGAATCATTCAGTAATTATTGACTCCAATGCTTGCAGGAACTTAGTTTTAACCTTGTTCAACTCCCTGCTGAGAGTTGTCTTAAACTTAATGTTAGGAAAGTCTAGAATTAGTGAATATGAAAGTCCTTAGTGAAACAACTATGCTGGCTGTGGAAGTGAAATAAGTAGAGATTACAGTACTAGAAGAATGTGTTGTTGTTGAATTTAATCAGATACTAAAATGTGAAATATGAATCCACTTGGACACAATCCTGGAAGAATAATAAACACTTTGAAGGAGGTTCAAAGAACGTGTATAGTAGAAGTTTGCTCTTTTGTTTTTTGAATTTAAGCTTAAGCTCCCAGAATTCTGCTGAGGGAATTGAAGTTGGAGTACCAAAAACAAATCCCAATCCCAAAGAGCACACCCTGATGTCTTAAGTTTCCTAATAATAAATCATTCCAGTCTGATTTGTACATGAGGGAGGCTTTTTAATTTATCTTGCTTTGCAGCTGTGGAAGTCATAAATTTATATTCATATATTCTATGTTTCTCTGAATCTATGTTTTTCTCACAATGAACATTTCTTAGAATCTGTGGGGGTGAATGCATAGACATTTGTCCTGTTGTTTGGTCTGCTCTGAGGATGGGCTGGTTTGCTCCTTTTCCTGGTGAATACATGATGCAATTGCTAACATTGTCTCTGGAGCGTTCCTATCCTATTTAAGGTACCAGTAGGACCAGAGGGACGTGGTGGCGCTGCGGGTTAAACTGCAGAAGCCAGCTGTAAGATTGAATCCACGTGGCGGAGTGAGCGCCCATCACTTGTCCCAGCTCTTGCCAACCTAGCGGTTCGAAAGCATGCAAATGCAAGTAGATAAATAGGGACCACATCGGTGGGAAGGTAAAAGCGTTCCGTGTCTACGTCACACTGGCCATGTGACCACGGAAGATTGTCTTCGGACAAACGCTGGCTCTATGGCTTGGAAACGGGGATGAGTACCGCCCCCTAGAGTCGAACACGACTGGACAAAAATTGTCAAGGGGAACCTTTATCTTTAGGACCAGTCAGTTTTGATTAGATTTGAGCATGTGTGATTGCTGGGATCGAACTAAAGTAGCTGCCTGGCTGTTCTTTTGGAGAATCCATTTAACAAACTTGAGTAATAGTAAGCTTTCCCTTTATATCTTCTTTGCAGCTCTCCTTTGGAGGGAAAAGGGGAAGTTCTGTATTTTTTTAAAATAGTTGCTAACTGGTACAATTCATCAGCAATGCTCTGACAGGACCTTTAAAAAAAGACCTTTTCAAAGCCTCGCTGATATGTTAGCAACACTTACAGAGAAATGCACAGCTTCCCCTCTGCTCTGCCTGACCAGAAGATTTCCCTTTCCCAAGATCGCTAACTGGCTTGACCAAAGGGACAGCCATTCAGCTGCTTAATGATCTTGAGAAATCTTTCCCTTTAAAGGGAAACGATCTTTCGTTTAAAAGGAATCAAGATCTTGAATGGGCTAAACAGGTTCACTTGAGGTGTGGTGGGATTTCTGGATCCAAATCCCAACTGATACTTGCACACAAGGATTGATCACACACTTTTATACAATCTTAATTTTAATTATTTAAACGTTTACAGTGGTGCCTCGCTAGACAATGATAATCCGTTCCACTGAAATCGCTGTTTAGTGAAATCATTGTCTAGCGGAAAGCATTTCCCTATTGGAATGCATTGAAACCTGTTTAATGCATTCCAATGGGGAAGAATCATCGTTATCTAGTGAAAGCCGCTTTGCGAACTGCCGATCAGCTGTTTAAATAGCTGTCTTGCGAAGCTTAGGTCCCGAAAACACCCGTTTTGCGAGCGCAGAGGGAGCTGTCAAAATCGTTGTCTAGCGAAAATTGGTTTGCGAAGCAGGGACCAAACTTTGTCCAGCAAAATTCCCCCATAGGAATCACTGTTTCCGCTATAGCAATCGCAAAAAGTCAATGTCTAGCGAAAAAACTGTCATGTGGGGTAACTGTCTAGCGAGGCACCACTGTATAGGGCACTCTATATCATAGCACGTCAAGACAGGTTACAAAACTGTATAAAAGAATTTCAAGACATAAGATGTTTAAAACAATTTTAAAAAAACCAAAAAAAAACACCCACAAACAAAACACTCAAACAGTAAAGATATAGGACAGAAACCCATGCAGGCAATGAATGACCTTCAAACCCCAAAGGCTCTAATAAATAGATACTTCTTGACTTGGAACATACTCGGTGCCAATAGAGCTTCCAAGTGATGGGCATTCCACAATGGGAGTGCTACACTGGAAGAAGCTCTCCCCATGTCTGCACATAACAAACTGTTCTCAATGGTGGGACACAGAGGAGGGCCTCCCCAGCAGCAAATCTTAGTGATTGGCTATGTTTATATAGTCTTTTTGAACCTTTTCGAGTCTGATCCCAGCTATCTCAAATCAGAAAGGATTCTTCTTGCACATTCAGGAGGAGCTATAAAACTTGATTTTTTTTGCTGTAGCAGACACTTTTTACGGGGGGAAGTAAACTCCATAGTAAAAACTTGAATCCTAGTATCTTCTCACTACACTGTAAAACTCTGCTGATATCATTTTGTTAGAGTTGAGTGAGCAATGTTGACTGCTATGACCAATATGGGTATAAATCTTTGCAGGTGAATCAGGTACTTAAAGGTTCAGTAGCTTCCCATTTCTGATGAGTAGTACCTGAAGAAATACTTTACACTGGTCAGAATGTGGAACATTTCAGAATATTCTAGAAGCATCCTTAAAACCATCACATGAGTGTGCATCCTAATTGTGACTTTTCTTCTTCTTTTAACAGTGTCTTTATATATCATCAGTGCCAGAAGTTTAGAAAATCAGCATCATCTCAAAAGTTAACACAAATTCAACATCTTCTTGAACATTTCATTCTTGAAATTCCAGACTGAAAGATTGGCTGAAGGTATTTCAATGATCATTGCGTGACATAAATGATACTACTCACTGGTATGTAAAACTGCACTTCAGCGTCATTATGATGAACCAGGGAAAGTGGGCTAACCTCAGCCCATCAGAGTTCTCTCAGCTTCAGAAGTATGCAGAGTGTAAGTACTTGCTTTTAAATCTTTTATATTTCTGTATTTCCAATGCATTGCAAGAAATTTATATGCATAGAGAGATGCAACAACAATACGTGTCTGTAGTTACTGGCACAATAAAAATTCCACTCTGGCCCCAATCCAGTGAGGATTGTATGATGTTTGCCTCTCCTTGTGTTTAAGAGTATTAGGTGAAACCTTTTCCCTTAACTAGCAGTGAACCTGAAGCCATCTGTGCTTTCATTAATGGAACCCACTTTTTGCCTTCATGACATTTGTGGGGGGAAAGGAGATTGTCTGTGCATTTCATGATCCTCTGATGCTTTGCTTACGCCTTAACTAGCAGTGAACTAGCATTTCATGATCCTCTGATGCTTTGCTTATATTCTTCAGTTAAACCACTTACTGGCAAAGACATTTTTATTGCTCTTATTATTCTGGCAAGTCAGAATGCTCAAGGGCTTGATAACTGTATTGAGAAGCTTACGACTCCATTCTAAGTGGTAGAAAACAAAACTTTGTGCAGATTTCTGGAGGTAGGAAGAAAACATCTGTGCTGCAAATGAAATAACTTGGGTTAGAAAGTGCTTAATTATACAGTACATGGAAAGCAGAGGAGGTGGAGGTGGAGGAGACTTTGGCCTGTTTGTGTTTATAATTATTGATCTCATTAGCTTTTTCATACTGGTCATTCTCCTGTCCTCCAAGCCCCCAGTATTCCCCAAGGGGGCTTTTTTTCTGCAGCAAAGTGAGCTTATACCTGGCCACTGCCACCACATTTCAGAATATGATGGCAGTACCTTATACTAGAAACTTATAATAGAGCATGATAACGAGTGAAGGAGGTCAGTAGGCTATGGGAGAAAATGCATGAGAGACATTTGTGCACTGTGTGTTCCAGTGGCAGTAACCCCTGAGCAAAGAGGAAGAATTAGAATGCTTTGTTTGAAAAGAGTGCATGGGTATATTGGAAGTTGTGGAATGGAGAGAACTGGTGGAGGGGAAATAGTCCATCTCATTACACATCTGTAAGGATTGTTGTTGTTCTTGTTACAGTGCAGCCAGGTTGCCTCTGACTTATGTGACCCTGTGAATGAGTGATCTTCAACTTGTCCTGTTCTAAACAGCGCTGCTCAGATCTTGTGAGCTCAAGCCTGTGGCTTTCTTTAGGGAGTCAATCCATCTCATAATTTGGTCTTCATCTTTTTCTACTGCCTTCAGTCAGAGGTGGGATTCAGCAGGTTCGCACCTATTCTATAGAACCGATTCCTAAATGTACTAATGGTTCTTAGAACCGTTTGCTGGCCTGAGATGAATGAAGGAGGAGGGGCCAGGTGACCAGCGACGAGCGGGGGGAGGGGGGCACAATTAGCTGCCTCCCTTCCTGCGCCACACTGAGCCGTCTGAGGTGGGGTATGGGTGAGAGAGATAAAGCCCTGGAAAGAGCAGAAGCGTCAATGGGGGAAATGGGGGGAGGATGAGTCCTTGACGTCACTGGAGAAAAGCTCATGGCCTCGAGGCAGAGAGGGGGGGTGATTGACAAGGCATGAGGGCAGGACACAGAGGGAAAAAGTTTTGGGGTGAGACCGCTTCAGTCAAACACCCAACCGTCCTCATTTTACTATGATTTTTTTCAAGTTAAATGTACCACATAAGACTGTTGCTTAGCCTAGAAAGTTTTTTTTTTAAATCTGACAGAATATCCAAAGTGTTTCAAAGCATCATTGTCTTTTACAGAGATTCTTGCCTTCTTATGATGTGCTTAAAGTATTACAGACTCACTTTCAACGTTTTTGCCTCTAGAAATAGTTCAGGCTCGAAGAGCCTCGTGGCACAGTGGTTAAACTACTGTACTGCAGCCAA